TCCTCTTGATACCCACCGAAAGGTCCCGCTGCCTTCTAGAACCTGCTACCAGGATTTCCCTGCCCTCGTGGCTGTTCTGAGGTGAAATTTGTCACTGCTGCAAATGGAGCTTGGCTCTTCCACCCATCCCTGTGGAGAGGAGAGCTCTCATGCCCTGTGTCCATCATATCACCAACTCCTGCTGCTCCGTACTGCGAGGATGTTTGTCTGGTCTTCTCTGCATTAATGAAGCTCAGCTCCTTGGTCACCTCTGTGGGGGTTATGTCTTTTCTCAAAGCTCTTTTTGCTGTTCTTCTCTGGGCTTTCTCCACGGGGTCCATATAATCTGGGATAATAATAAACATCCCGTCTCATGAAATTCCTCAGTGGTCTTTTTTTGCATTCTGACCTTGTGCTGCACTTAGCTTGCATGTGGCAGGAGCCCAGGTTTTAGGAGGCAGCTGCCTTAGTGGCTGGGAACCAACTGGGACACTGAGACACTGATTCACTGGGCCTGGATCCCTGCTCTGCACACTGAGCTTTCCTTGTGCCCCGCTCATTCAGCAGGGACCAGCAGTGCTGCTCTACCAGAACAGAAAAATTAACTCGTTTTCTTGTCTTTCATCTGCTTAATCCTGTGAACCTTTTCCAGTGAGGGCTGCAGTCTGTTTGAGTTCCTGCCTTTCCCTTCCCAAGCCCGATCCATTTGGAATTTGAAAACGGGACCCTCTTGTAACCCGGTGAGAACAGGAGCTGCTTCAAATCCCGAAATCCCTGTGAGCTACATCTACTGTGAGCATGGTAAATACCTTGTCCTGGTGAGCATGAGACCTTCCGTGTATGTGCTACCTTGCTGATCTGCATGTGCCTGGTAAGTTTGTCCCTTCCAACCCCAAATATTCTGTGATTTATCACAGAGAGGCTGTGCTGCATAAGCACAGATAAGCTGTACAACGTGTGCATGTGTCAGCTGGTGCGTGGTGTCCAAGAAACACTGCTGAGAATCCGTTATTTTTAATAACGTGCAAATAATAACAGGCACAAGTGCCTGTTCCTCCTTCCAGCTCAGTGCTTTGTGTTCATGCGGTGTGACAATGCAAGAGCAGCAGGTTTGCCCACCAAGGAGGAATTCAGCGGGGTGATCGAGGCTGCTGCCAGGGAAGTAATCCTCATCCTAGACCCAGAAGAGGTGGAGGGCACCCCAGATGCTGCCTGTGCCTCTCTGAGCAGGGCTGGTGGGGCTGGGATCAGGTTGGTGCCACTGGGCCCGAGGAGGACAGACCCGGCACGGCAGATCTGCGGGATGAGGCAGTCAGGTCTGTGCTTTGTACATGGAATCACTCACGTGGTTTCGCTCCAGCCAAGATATTCTCTTTCAGAAAGAGAGCTGACCAGATGTCTTATTATTGCTGCTCACAATGCTGTCCTCGGAGCGCAGCAATCCATCAGGGCGCTCGGCACAGCCCCGCAGAAAAGTCCCTGACACATTTTTACGGAAGGGCCAGGTTCTCACCGCCTGTGTGCATTTGTACCCCTTGACAAATAGCTGTTTGACTTCGGTTTTGTTCAAAGTCACAGTTGTGTCAAGCACAGGGCTCCTATTCAAGTGCCTGCCAATGGTGGTCCACAACTCAGTGTTTCCTCTTCTTTTCTTGCTTTGTTTCCCCCTGACAGTCACTTGGATTCTTTCTTTTTTCTCTCCCTGTGTCTCATAGGTTCTTTGAAAGATAACTTTAAAGGACTTATCCAGAGCAAAGCAGCACTCTAAAAATGACTTGGAAGTTAAATCACATGAGAGTTGCTCATGTGCATTGATATGTTGCTGATAAGATTTTTTTCTCAGTTTTTACAACCTGGTGATTTGTAGAATTAGTCGGCAAAGCTTTGGGTACACTGAGGAATGCAGCTTTTTTGCAGTGGATTGACTCATCTTTGAAGGTTGGTGCCACTTAAAACTGGGAGATGTGTTTCTGTATGGTCTGACCCCATTGGACATGGAGTGCAGTTGGTACCAGTTACGAACTGGTGGCATTTGCCCTCCTGTATAAAACAATTTAGATAATGGATTGACTTTTCCTTTACAGTACTTTCTAGGTTATGCACGTGTCCAAAGTTTCTTACAATAGACCCTAGCTGTGTCATATTCTCTACAAACATACTGTGCAAAGGTATGTTGAGGTTGCAGGGTCCAGAGGATCCATAGGAAATCGACCTGGAAGTGCAAGCGTGCCCAGGAATGCAAGCGTGCAGGGAAGGTGTGTTTGAACATGACTTTCTGCTGAGGAATCTGATCCATCAGCAGACTGCACAATGCTGGCAGGTGTCACAGCCTGCAGCAACTAGCAGGGTAACCTCCCAGAAGGTGGGTGAAATCCATGGAAATCGGCCCACGTCATCCTGACAGCATAGCGTTTTTGTGGGTAGGTCTCTTAGCAGCAATGGAATGTTTGGCTTTATAAGGGAGGAGTCCTCCGTATTCTCCACGCCGTGACTTTCTGCCCGTCTTCTCCGGGTGAAGTTCCCTGTTGACTTCAGCAAGTATTTCCTCTGCTCAAAGAATCACTGGAGCCTAAAAAGGGAGTGGATTTATGGACTGGGGAGCAGGAGGCACCAATCCAGCGAATACCGAAGCGTGTATGTAAGCGTTTGCAGGCTTGGGATCTAAGTACACAAGTGTTCTTGATCTTCTTAAGCCACTCGATATTGCAAATTCCAAAGGCTGATTGGAGAACTTGCAATGCACTTTGCATGTCGATGTTTTCAGACGTCATGTCTAAGGAGAGCTTTCTCCTGATGGGGATGTTGCATCTTCCAATCACTTGTAGTCTCAGCCTGTTTAATAGGTGTGTAACTATCCAGCACCCTCAGCAGATGCTGAATGTCATGTTGCTGGTGCAGTAGATTCATTATCTTCTTGTGATGCCATCTATTTTCATAAATGTTGACAAGCGTATTATGATGTATCTGTCCTATTATTGTTTCTGTCTAACTTGACGTCCTCCAGTCATGGATCATCGTTAGGGAAGTCTTTGGTGGCCCTTCATATGTTATTATAATTTCAACAGAAGCTAGATTTTGCTTCAGTCTTCAAGATGACCTCACCATGTATTTGCAAACTCTTTATAGCTGGGTGAAGCCTGAGGAGCTTTGCAGCAGATTGTGAGTTTTTCAATTGATAATGGTAATAATTTCCCCAAAACATTGCAATTGTCAAAAAAAACTTCAGTTTTCTATGAAACTTGCAACCTCAAGGTCAACCTTGATCTTTCCATTCATTAGCAAAGGGGAGATGATGATATTGTCAGGCTGCAGAAGACAAAATTTGGGGTGGGAGGAAGAGAATTTGCTGCTTTGCTCAAATTAAAATGGTTCACTTAATGACTTAAAATGAAAGGTGCTTTTAACTCTCAGAATCACAAACTGAAGAGTTGAAGAAAATAGTTTTGGAATAAGTGTTTGGAGACTGTCTAGTAGATTCTTCTCATTTCCAGACAAGCCCAGTTATACCTGTGTGACTTTTCAGTCATGTTTATCTAACTGGTTTCTGAGTTTATGGACTGTTGAAATACTCTGAAATGCACGATATTTTTTTTTCTCCAGACGTGAAGCTCAGTAACACACACAGTTGTTTGGAATCTCATGTTAACCCCTGTGAGCTGTGGCTTTGGGAAAAGTACCAAATATCACAAGAGCTGTTAACACATCATTATTTGCATAAATGACTAATTTATTTTTTTTTTTTTTTATTTTTTAAGGAAACAATTTGGAGCTGGTAAAAACTCCTGTAGTGGAAGACTCTCTCTGAAAATGGGGTTTTCACAAATCTTCATGCAGAATTATTACATTCTTGCGAGCTGGAATCCTCTGCAAAGGAGGGCTTGATGCATCTCCATATAAATTTATGTAGGACTTCTTTTGCCAGATTCAAAGGAAAGAAGTCCTTTCCTTTCTAAAGGAGATAGGGTAGAGTGCGACTCATACAGAAGTACTGTCTACAAGTGATCAGAAGGCAACTTTCCACCTTTTGATTGGGGCTGATGTCTGCCTTGGGAAGACTCGCGTGATGATGCAGGGATGCCGTGTGATTGCACTTCCAAGTCTGCAGCACTCGTGTATCCCAATAGAAAGTTAATGGGCGAGAGCTGAGTTTTAATGCCGTGAACCTCTTTGGAGACGTTAAGTGCAAGTGTATTAAAACGTGATTTATTTTCACCACTGAGCCTTGAAATTTCTTGCAGGAGATCCCAGCGTGCTCGTACGTCTTGGCTCTGCAGGTTACGGGGATGTTGAGAGGGGACTTGGCTATCGTGGGCAGTTCTGATTTGTGGGGCTCCTCGGGGCAGGCAGCTTCCCAATGGGTGTGATTTTTGTTTGCTTTTGGTTCATTCTGTTCCCTGCAAAATTCTTTGGCATATTGCCTTTCACCTTGTCTCCAAATGAGTGTTTTTCCTTTGCGTCCCACTCAGTGACTCAGGTCAAAGGCATCTTACTCAATGCAGTATGTTTCTTGTTTTTTTGCATTTGCCAGATGTGCAGTAATTTTAGGAAGGAAACTGGAAGAGGCACAAATGTTATGAAGTGGCTTTGGTGCTCAGCTCGGGTCTCTCTGTGGGGAGACCAGGTTGACATGTGGCATGGAGCACCTTTGCTTTTCTCTGCCCAAGAACCAGGCCTTACCAGGCAGGGCTGGTGACTGCATCCCCTTGGGGTTGGTTGGGATGGCAGGTAATTAATGGCAAGTAGTGGCTTTGGGGTACTGGCAATTACATTATCTGCAAAATGCAGCATTTCTGCACAGATTCCCTCTCGAACAGCCTGATGAACCTCCTGCCCCAGCTTTTCCCACTTGTCCAGCCCTGCTTTGCAGCCAGCTGCTACCCGTGCAGCACAGGGATGTGAGATGTGAAGCTGAGCCTGCATCTCTTCACCCATTTTAATTTGCAGAGCTCTAGGTGCTTTCTTGCAGGCCCCCACACTGTGTTTAACTCTTCTGATGAGAGATGTACTTTTTTGTTTTTCAGAGACCTGTCAGTAATTCAGAGAACACCAGGTCTGCGGACCAGAGTCTGAGAAATGCTGCATCAGAGGATCCAAATGCTTAAGACATGACTGAGGTGCAACTGAAGGTCCAAAATCTAAAACTAGGAGCTCGCCAGGCCTTTTCTGAGCACCTCCATGGGACACTGAGAGATTCTCCTAACCTGTTTGGTCATGGAGTCTTTAGGGTTGCATATGGAACACCTCTATCTCAGTGTGAGCAATCTGGGGTTGACTGAGGCTGACCAGGACAGAAATCAGGATCCTGCACATGTGCATTTGGAGGCTCAGCTTCCCTCGTACAGGCTCAGAGGATGAGGTGGCCTTGCAAAATCTGGCTGTGCCTCCTGGGCAATGAAGCTGCAGGGTGTAACGTGCCCTCCCTCTGTGCCTGCAAGCACTTGTGTGCAAGGCAGTAGGCCTGCTGGACCGCTTGCCTCTGTTACCGAGGTGGAAGGAGCCAAACCATTGCTACCACCGTTCCCAGCACCTCTGGGGCTCTTCCTTTTCCCTGGATGCTACAAAAGTCCTTTTCAGTGTGTCAGGACTCCCCTTTGGAGAGCTCAGCACTGCCCTCTCCTTGCTATCTGGAGTGTCTCCACAGCCAACGGGAAGCCAAGTGCTTAATTACTTTTGGACTCTTTCGAAAAGCCTCAGATACTCCAATGATGAGCTCAGAAATGTTTGGATTATCAGCTGCAAGCAACCAGGGAGGTAGGTCAGCCTTTGGAATAGCTCATCTATCATTGCTGTCTATGATCCATATGGGAACAGGCCATCTGAACGAGCAACCAAACACCTTCATGTAGAGGTTTCTGCCTCTACATAGGCTGACGTGCTAAAGAGGGAGGACTTAGCTACAGGGCTTCTGTGTAGCACCTACTAATTTCCAATACAGCTCTGGAAATCCCGTCTCACATGTAAGCCAAGCTGCCTTCATCCTGCTTACTCTTTCCTATATGGCAGGCAGCGTCATAGACTGAAGCGAGAAGAAATGCACCTTCTGGTGTGCCAAGAATATGGAGTGCTGATGATTTCTTGCTAAAACGTTCCTGACTGGGGTTCTGGCCTCATGTTTCCTGGGATGCTTGTTTCACTTTGTGCTGACTTGCAGTGAAAAATACGTGATGGCAGTTTGAGGAATTTGCATTGTGCTTTCCATCCCTCTTCCAAACCAGATGCTTTTCCCCTAGGCAGATTTAATCCCCGAGCTGAGGCTTTGAAATGAATTCCGACCGGTAGGATTTCTTCCCTTTCGGGTTGTGCAAAGACCTGGTGGTGGGATCAGGACTTGCAATCCGCAGATGACCAGAGATGCTGTGAGATCCAATGCTTCATGAAGCTACTGTGAGGTGGGTGGGGGCATTCCTGCATATTTCAAGGGGAGCAGGATGTGGCTTGGATATGTATGATGTTGAATTGGTCCTAGTTTTGTCTAAACTGAAGTCTACGTATGTCAATCCTCTTCCACCCTCCATACTGGAATTATAATATTAGAGATGATGGTGAATTTCTTATCCTTGTTTCCCACAAGTTGAAATTTATAGCTGAAAATATATTGAAAGACTGGAGGATTCTGCAAAATCATGTGCATTTTCTTTCTTTTTTTTTTTCCCCTTCTCTCTCTCCAACTCTACTTTGGGTTCTGGGTGAGACCCCAAAGCTTCCTCACCTCAGGGCTGAGAAATCTGCACAGCTGGAGGTAACTGCTGGTGCTGTCTGTCTGTGGGCTACAGAAAGTCCTGACCACTGGCTTGGACTTGAGGCTAAAGCGGTGCAGGCTACTGTGGGCTAAGCAGTATGCCCATGGTCGCACTGGAAGTCTGTGGCACAGTGAGGAATAGAAGGGCTGCTTTTGCTTTCCTCCAAACCTAGTACTATGATAGTTAGCACCCACTTTTCTGAAGCAGAGCAGTTAGCATCCTGAGCGTCAGTTTTTCAGCCATCAGAAATGGAGGAGAAAAATGGAGCTGAGCATCTCTTTGCGGGAAGAAGGGCCCGAAACTGCTCCCGTTCCTGTCTCCTGCACAGACCTCTGCAGCTAATGGTGGGTAACTGGGGGACGGCTGGGATAGCAAGGGGCTGATGGTCATCCCTGTGCTCCTCTGGCAGGCCGAGGCAGCTCCGGCAGCAGTCGGGAGTTTTGTGCCTGTGTTTGTTGCACCATGGTCTTGGGAGAGACTCTGCACGTTCCTTCCCTGAGCACTGACTCCGTATCCCCAGGGAGGGACGGGACTGCCATCTCACCCCCTGGCTGGCCTGGTATGACCTCCAGGTGGGTACGTGAGGAACGAGGTGGGAAGCAGCCTCCTGAGATGATGCTTGGCCATATCAGAAGCAAAATACTGAGAAGTCTGATGGACTTCTTGGACTGCTCTGCATTTCTAGATCATGTTACCAAGCCTACTCTACCATCTCTCCTTATCTGTGTCTACAAAAGGCTTAAAGGCTGCAGATGGAGGGGCTTTATTTGTATGCTGCAACGTGCTTCTAGCACCAGGCTGTGATCCCTATGCCGAGTTGGTGTGGGAGGTGCTGTAAGCTGTGACCCATAATCATTATGGTAGTTTTTGCTTGTGCCTTAACCATAAGGAGAGTTTAGCTATTAGGTCTGTTTTGATTATAGCTGTTACAGACTGTCATAACCTGTAGAAGTGACCCTTCTGCAACTCTTTGACCTTTAACACATGAATAGTGATGCAATCTTGGCAGCAGTTATCTTTTCTTAGCACACTGCATGTCATAAAATCACAGAGCATGCCAGGCATCCTGAGAAAATGCGTACATTAATTTATTCCAGCCTTGAGAATATTCCTAAGCTCTTTTGCTAATCAGGAAATGGCAATCAACCCTTCCAAGGGTATTCATGCTCCTCCCTGTCCCCGTTTCCAAACCTAGACCCATGAAGAATGGCTGTACTATATTCAACTGTTGAGGGCCTTGAGTTGAATCAATGTTCCTTGTCGTCGGTGGATGGTGATAATGACTTTGCAGGCCGTGTGCTCCAAATGTCTTGCATGGAAAAAGTCTGGAGTAAGTCTCCTTAATGTTTCTATTTATAGGCCCAAAGGGCTAAGGGATCTGCAGAGGTCACTGCCTCCTGTTGCTTCCCCAACACCAACCTGTTGTGTTTCTTGTCAGTCTGTGGCCTTCCTTCCACTTTCTGGAGTGGCTGCCACGCTGCCCTGAAGGTTTGCAGTTCCTAAGCTGTGTCCAGCATGGATTGTCCCTGAAAAGTGTTTGTGCCCTGCAGATTAGCAAGCTGCTACCTAAAACATAAAGCATGTGGCCACCTTGACTTCTCCGCTCTTGAGTGGGAGCTAGTTTTCTCCCAGGGGTTGTTTCTCAGGACTGAACAGTCCTGTTCAGTGTCCGTTCCCAGACAGAACCACCTCAGAAGTGGTTGAGGAGTTTTGAAAAAATTGTAAGGATGGATGTAGATGTAATGCCATGAGATAGAGTGGAACGGGGTGAGGACCACATGGGAATCCTAACAACAGTCCCCTCCATCTGCTACGGTGACCAGGTCTGAATCGTTCCCTGGTGAGTATTGACCAACCCTGTTCCTGGTGGTGGACGTGTGGCTGTGGCCACCCTTGAGGGACGTGTATGAAAGACACTTCTGCCAGCCTTCCTTGGAAAAAGCTGGGACATGTCCCAAGTACTGTTCAACACTCAATCCAGTAGGACCGTGTCTCACAGGTGAGATAAATTTCTTCCTGGCTGCTGTAGTGGAGAAAACCAAAAGTATCCCAGAAGAGCCATGACTCTGAAAAAGCAATTATCTCCCTTTGCATGCACATGAGCACGCCGGCCCAGCAGCTCAGGACAGAGGTCAGTCAAACAGCAATTAGATGGGGTCAGAGCCACCGGGAGAGCTTTGGGTGGGTGGTTTGCCTTGGGCAACGCACCTTCTCCTGGGCTGTGCGTGGATCTCGGTGCCCTGGTTTCCCTCCGGTGCCTGTTCAAACTTCCTTGGCTAGTGTAAGGATTTTTGAAACTGCATTAGCTGAAATTATGGTCTGGCTTCACTGCACAAACTTGGATGATAGTTGCCTATGGCTGTGTCTTACCCGTTGCTCTTCAAATCTGGTGGCTTGTGTTTGAGTACATTTCATTTATGAAAATTAGGTGAAACGTAATTCTTCCCGTAAATGGTCACTCTTTTCCTTAAGGCCCGCTCAGTGTTTCAGTCTTATGTTTGAATTCAGCGTTTCAATTATTTTTTTTAAGTGGGAAAGGAACACGTACTAGTTATTTATCTGTGCGCAGCCCATATTTGTGTGGGTTTGGTGCTGATTGGCTGCATGTGTGTTTACAATAGCCTTGTGTTATCCCAGACGGCAGCCTAAAAACACTTCCAAATTATTCCACATCAGAAGCAAAGAGGGTTTGGATAGACTCCTAAGGGAAAGTCTTGAAGTGTTGCCCAAACCTCAGTCCCAGTGCTGTAAGTCAGGCACGTGGCTGATATTTTATCCACCCATGTTGGACTTCTGCAAGCTGTTTTGTTTGTGGAGGGAGCGGGAACTTGGGAGCAATTTTAATCAGTGGTTTCTCGGAGATGGACCCCCTCTTTTCACTTTTTCCTTCTTGACACACATGTGTGCATTCTGACCATGCTTTGTAAGAAACTATGTCAAATATGTGCGTGCATGTGCATATTAGCAAGGCTGCATGAGAACTTAGTCCCCTGGCGGGTATTGACTGACCCGGTTCCTGATGGTGCTATTGTGGTGTTGCTGGTTTTGGGCATAAAACACCCGCATGACTGTAGACAGATGGTGCACCAGGGGTTGCAGGTTCAGCTCTGTCACTATGGCCCGTTGTTTTTGCAAACCTCAAAGTGGCCTGGGAGGTTCAAATGTTAAATTGTGCTGTACGCAGGTGTTGGTGGTGCTCTGGTAGGTGTTTGGGGCTTTGTCCTCCTGCGTGTCACAGAGATTATGACTTTTACACTGCGTCTCCCATGGCGAAAAGCGGGATTCTATGGAACTCGAGCTCCTTGGGGTGTCCAGCTCTTGGACAGCTCTGTGGCACAGCTGCCGAGCGCTGCTGGACTCTCTAGGGCTGAGCTGCACCGGTAGCGTCCCTGGCTTTGTGCCGGGCCAGATGGCTTGGGTATGTGGTGCTCGCTCTGAACTGCCGCGTGTTTGGTGGCTCTCCTTCAGGGAAATCATTTCAGGTCAGTGCCTTGCTGTTCTGGCCGTGCGTCACCGGCCTCGCAGCTGCTCCTCGCGTCAGTTTAGGTCAGCAGTGGCCGAGGATGGGGACCCTGCCTCATTTCGAACGGTGCTGGGATTCTGTTGTCTCACAAAAACACAACCCTACAGTGGGATTTCAGTTCCAGGAAATATTTGTGTTCTGCTGGACTTCAGATGACTTTGTTTTCCAAAAATGTTGGCATTATTGTGGCCTAAAAATTTAAAAGGTGAGCCAGATTCTGTCTTGGACCTTCAGTTACGTGAATAATAGCATGCTTTGCTATTGGAATGAAGATTTTTTTTTTAATGCAATTTAAAACCAATATGCACACTGATTTAGGAATGCAAAGTGGTTTTATTATTATCTCATCTTAAAACTGTTTCCTTGACCGCCTGTTTTTCTGGACTCTGAAATATATTGCAGAAACACATCTGTCGTGCTATGTAATGTGAAATATGACTTGTTAGGGTGGTTGTTTGTCTCCAAATATATGTATACATTCCAGAGCAAGGCAAGAAGAATACGTACAGCACTAAATATAGAAACAGGTAGGTAATGTTTTACCCATCTGAGTGTTGGCTCAGAGGTGGGGTGAGGAAGTTCTTTGGATAGGATGGACTAAGAAATGTCTCTTATGGAGCTCACAAAATCTGTTAGCTGAGCTGGCTTGTGGAGGCTGTGCTGAGGGTGCAGCAGCTCCACTTCTTCATGGGTGGCACAGGATTCAGAAGGGTGGGACCTGCAAAGACCATTTTGTGTCTCATGTTCCAGTGAGATTCAATATTGCCAGGTCAAACATTTCCTAACCCTTGCACACTTGATTTTGCAACTCATTCTTTTATTATTAGTTCACTGTTGGACTCGGTGGAGCCACGTGGACATTCCAGGAACAGCTTTTGTTACGAATCTTGAGATGTCCT